TCCTCTGGGCCCCCTTGAAGCCCTGACCGGCCGCACTCAGCTCTGCCCGCAGCCTTCTCTTCTCCAGGCTGAACACCCCCAACTCTCCCAGCGTGGCCCCAGAGCAGAGGGGCTCCAGCCCTTGGAGCATTTTAGTAGCCCCTCAGATCATTTTAGTAGCCCTCCCCTGGCCCCGCTCCAACAGCTCCATGTCCTCCTTGTGCTGAGGGCTCCAGACCACCACTGCTAAACTTCTCCCTCCAAGACCAACCCCCACCAGAGTTTCTTTGGCAGCTGGGCTCCTCCTCACCAAGTCAAAGCCTGTCGCAGTGTGAATGGGGTTGGGTTTTTTCTCCCAGTTCACCAGTCCCACCAGTGGCTGCACAGCCACAGCCAGCGGTCGTTCACCTGCAGTAACGGCCAGTGAAGCAGCGGGCCTGTCTGGAAGCTCTGCATCACGACTGAAGTCTCCTCCATCTCGTGCAGGTACAAATGGTCCCTGGACTGAGCCATGAATGTATTTCAAGCCTTCATGCTGGAGGAGTAAACCCCTTTATTCCCACAGAATTTGCAACGGAGAGCTCTGTGTGCTTTGCGGAGCAGTTACGGCAGGAATCCAGTGGGATTCCGGCTGCTGTAGCGATTCACCGAGAAATGGCGGCACAGCAGGCACAAGCTGAAGGTCCTAACCCCCAGCGTTTCACCTACGAGCTGATTGCAGCTGGAGGAGGTTGGCTGCTGACACTGGCGTGGTGAAGGGGAAGGAGCAGAACCTGGAGTACCCAACCCTACTGTAGAGATGCAACGTGACGCAAACCAGGAGGCCCTCAAGAACATGTAAAAAACTTGTCAAGAAAATAAGTGACCACAACATGGTGAGAACCAGCTGATGCTCTGAAGCACGGCACGGGTGTGGAACTGAAGAGACTAACCTTAAGGGAACAGGAGGTATTCTTAGGCAAGAAGCAAGAAGAGACTTTAACCACAAGTTCCTTGGAAAATAGAGACATCAAAACTGGCTTGCAAGCTCTGCCCTCCAGCAAAGGAAGAGCGACCCAAGTGCAGGGACCCAGTGCTAATGATGGAGATGGGAAAAACTGAAGATAATGAAATGCAGACCCAAAAGCTGTTGATTGAGAGATATGGAGAACCAGGAGAAGGCCAAAAACCCAGCTACTAATGGCTATGAAGGATCAAGAAGTGGCCAGGAATGGAGGATATTCAACCAAGAAGAGGCTGTTACACAATGATGAGCTACAGAGAGCTCGGAGCTGGATGTCCCAAGCCAGCGGGATGTCCCAAGCCAGCGGGATGATGTCCCAACCTCCCGCAGCTCAGCCCAGAAGCCTGTTGGGGCTGCAGAGTGGTGGTCCCACTGCCTTGCTCCGGTGCTCCCGGACCTCCTCCGGAGCCTGCCCCGCTCATTAGTCCCTGGTGCTTTTTGTTGGGTGGTTTCTGTTGGGCTGGCAATCAAACCAGTTCTCATGGCAGAGTACCGGAGCCGAGGCGCGGGAGCACACACACAGCAGCCGGCACGGCGAGGGTACGGCACTTCCTCCGGGCAGCAGTCCCAGGATGAAAAGCTGCTAACAGGCCATCGCACAACACTGGTGGTTCACAGAAATGGTGTCATTTTGATTGTCTTGCAGGAGCCTATTTACCCGATGAGCTTTCAAAAAAGCACAAACCACATTTTTTTATTAACTGGTCAATAATTATCTTCCTGAAAGGAGCGGGGAAGCTTCTCTGCTTTGAGAGAGGTCAGTTCTCTGCTATTAGGAGAGCTCAAAGTGCTGCTGGAGGCACTCCACCTAGTGGCTTACAGCCCATTTATAATTAATAATGCTAATGTTTGCTCTAGCGAGAGCCAACGGAGCAGCCAGACTGCGGCCTGGAGACCTGCGATGCATTTGTGAACGCTCTCATCCTTAACACAGGGGAAGGAGCCCAGAGGCTTAACCTCAAAACGTGCCACAGGACTGCCAAAGCCATGGACATTTAGATGAGCACCACGTGCTGGGACCACAAGACCGGGTTTGAAGATGGCTCTTGATGTCGCTCATCCTTCTCGCAACGGACAGAAAACCATCGTGCAAAAGCAGAAGCCTCCCCCATGAACTTGGGCTAATGGCTGGGACCAGAGCTGCCAAAAGACATGACGCGTCGCAGCGAGCAGCAAACTCGTTGGTTTAGGCAGCTGATTGCTTTTCCAGGAAAGTGGGGGGGGGAAAGGCTTCCAGCCTAGGGACAGAGCAGTTTATCCTGTTGACTTAATGGTGGGTTCACCACCACCAAGTCATCCAATACAACTTGTACAGCTGCTGGTGGGCTAACGAAGGCTTCGGTTTGGTTTTTCGGAGTGTGTACAGGCGTGTTGCATACGCTTTGTGGAGGTGGCTCAGTGGTCATTCGAGGTTGGCTGCTCCCCAGGTTTTCATTCTAAGCAAGCCACTTAGCAACCCTGCGAGGGAGAACGGGAAGAGCCGCCTCTGCTGGCCACCGGCCCGTGAAACCGCAGCATCGGTAACGGCACGCAGAGCTTTCACCTGCTGCCATTCCCACCTGGTTAGAAGGACAAGCTACTGTTCCTTCTCCCCTCGCAAAGAGCCTGGGGAGAAGCACAGCCCAGATGTGAGGCTGGGCGCTCATACCTGGGGCCAATAGCAGATGGAGAGAATCATCTAGAATGACCTTGGAGACGAAGCAGGTTCTCTCCCCTCCCATGAACACCAGAGGTGCGAGAGAAGTGATCTGCAAGCACAAGATATACTCATGAAATCCAAGAAAAGGGAGGCTCTGGAACACAGTGCGGAGGAAATATTTTTCCGCTGTGAAACTCTCCCTTCGAAAGCCCCCACCCTGCCTTCCCGCTTCATCCAGCAAGAACGGGGGGCTGCTTGCTCCGCTCTCCCTAAGGCCCAGAGCCAAACTCCTGAGGCACAACGGCAGAGATGAAGAAGCAAGGCATAAAATAAGCTTCACTGATGTATGATTCACTCCGCTTTGTGGAGAGGTAAACACGAAGGGAAAAAAAAAACAAACAATGAGCGCTTTAAATCAAGATCCTTAAGGGTGCCTATAGGAATCAGACCCCCCCACCCCTGTATGTGTTGGCCTCAACGGGCGTAAGGGCGGCAACTTCAACGGCACCACTCCAAGGTTCTGATCGGGTGACGTTAACTACACTCTTCTGTATGACCACCATGGGAAAAAGTCACCTAAGGGTGAGCAGCAGCGCCCCGACCGTCTCGAAAGGCAAGGCAGTATTGACCAGCGGGGCTCCAGATCCCCCATTCTGCCTCCCAACCCAACAGCAATGCTGGGTGAGCGGCATCCAGCATGAATTTGGCTGGGTGCAAGTCAGAAGTCAAGAGCCTGGAAGAAGAATACAGTACCAGAACAGAAGGACAGCAGACATTACCCCAAACGACTCGAACACCTTGGTGCAGCGTAGGACGAGACAGAACAGTTGTGCTTTGTGGGAGGGAGAAACCAATCGCACGGGAAAAGCCCAGCACCATGCATCGACTGCTATTCCAGATTGGAACCCCCGAGGCGGGGAGGGAAGTTCCTGCAGCCTTCACAGCCTTTCCGACGGAGAGCTCACAGCAGAGCTGCGCTCCAAGGCAGCTTTATGCTGTGTTTGGGGTCACAGGTCTGGGAGCTGTGACACCAGGTCTTTAATCGTGTTCAGAAGGTCCCTCCACCACCCAGAAAGCCTCCAAAAGCCCAGGCTGTGCCCCCGAGGCAACTGGGAGCTGGAAGAGGGAGCAAGCAGGCAGCAGCCAGCCTCCCCGCAGAGGAGGTCTGGAAAATAACGCGTTCGGGCAAGAAAGCGCCGAGCAAACTCTCCTGCATTGTCTGCCATCCCCTCCCCACATACATACTGCTTCATGGCTATCAGCTTGGAGTCCATGCTCTCCTGCTTTCCCTTCATCACCTGGATGTCCGTCAGTAACTTGGTTACGTTGTCCTGCCGCACCTTTATATCCTCGTTCTTTATGCTGGATACCTGGGGACAGAAAGGAAGAGGTCAGTGACGTTTCCTTCCGACAAAAGGGTTATTTAAGCTTCAAAGTCGATTCTGCAGAGAGAAATTCGCCTCCCCTCTCCAGACCAAGCGCTGCATTCACAGCGGAGCGCACTGCCTTGAGGGACTCAACCCAGCCGTCTGCAAAGCGAGTTTTCCGCAAGCACATCGCTATTTGAAAACATCAGATATCAATAAATGATCAAATAACTATCTTTTGGGGTCAGAAATAGGCTGCTCAGGTGAAAGCGAAGGCCTGCACAAGAGCGAACCCTCAGCTGGGCAACGGGCCAAGACGTTCTCATCTCTGCGATCCTCAAACCAGAACCTGGCAGCCACAAAGACCAGGGAGCATGTTTGCGCTGAAGACAGGAAGCAAACATTCTTCCCGTGCGCTTTCCAAAGCCTCCGAGGCGTGCAGTGAACTGACTATCCCTCTTAATTAAGACAGCCCGCAATTAAGAAACTCATTAGCTGGTTTGAGAAAGAAAAATCAGGAGGAGAAGGGCAGATGAGCAGACTGCAGCAGAGGCGCCTGCGGGCGGAACGGTGGAGCCTCTTCCAGCCGTCCCGGAGCGGCAGCCGGTCGCGTCACATCCCCGTCGTTTCCACTACGAGTGCTAAAGCAGCCGAGGGGGGAGATTCTGAGCAGGCAATTTTATTTTTCTGATCAGATACTCACGAGAAACGACAGCCGGGCGTGTTTCAGAGAGCTGTGCCACGTGAGAAGCCTATCGACCTGCCAGCCGTGCTGGGGGTTAACACGTCTCACCTCCTCGGCAGCTTCTCCCCACCTCCCTTGCCAGCAGCTCGTATATCTTTAAGAGCTCTTTACATCCCTCTAACGCGTTTGCCCACTGTGAAAACGTCTGGAGGAGCGGAATGCCTCCGTGGAAATGGCACTTAGGGTTATTTGAGAGCACCCTGGGATAGGCAGAAGAGCGAGCTGCTCTCTCTACAGGCTGCTTTGATTCATATTTGGGAAAGAATGACAAAACCGTGTTTCTCCAGCCCCCACTTCAGCACCAATAAATTAGCCTGGGAAGTTCACAAGCATTTTTGGAACTCCCGATACCAACAGCTGCCGTGCCACGTCTTCAGCACACCCACTGCGATTCTGGAGGTCAGGCAACGGGGGCAGCTGCAAAGAGCGCCCGAGTTTAAAGGGAAAACACCCAAGTTTATATCTGGGGTCCACCAGAGGTCAACACATTTAAAATAATTCCGGTGTCCTGTCCTTCCTTTTCCTCCTTCCACCGCTATACATCGCCTGCGTGTCTGCACGTTGTACGGAGGCATTTCAGTGCTTAAAGGGGGCCCAGAGGAAAGGGGGGGACAAGCTTTTTAGCAGGGCCAGCTGGGACAGGACAAGGGGGGATGGCTTTAAACTGAAGCAGGGGAGGTTTAGACTGGATCTAAGGAAGAAATTCTTTCCAGTGAGGGTGGTGAAACCCTGGCAGGGGTTGCCCCGAGAGGGGGTGGAGGCCCCATCCCTGGGACCATTCCAGGCCAGGTTGGCCGGGGCTGTGAGCAACCTGATGTGGTTCAAGGTGTCCCTGCTGCTGCAGGGGGGTTGGGCTGGGTGACCTCTGGGGGTCCCTTCCCACCCAAAACATTCTGTGATTTCTTATTCCTCGAAGCATTTCAAGTGCAGGCTGCAGCCCAACCAGTGATGGCTCTCCCTCCTACTGAAAGGTGCAATTGCTCTTTGGCCTCTCCAGAGGACACAGCGACCTTCCCTCTGTCACGCTAAACTCAAGCAGATGCTACTTGTTCAGAAAAAGAACCAGGAAAAATATAGAGTGACCCTTTTTACTGAACTGCGGAGCAGCGTGGTTTGCAAGGCTTGGAGTGCTGGGTGTTTTCGGCTGGTGGGAGAGAGGGGAAGGCTCGAGCAGGGCCGCAGAGAACCTAGCACTGGAAACACAGAGGAAAAGACCCACGGAGAGCAGGGACCGGTACCGCGGGCCTGGAGGCAGCTGATCAGCGGGATGGCGCTGCAGCTGGTGCCTGGGTGAGAGGGTAGAGGCAGCAGGAAGAGCTGCTGGCCCGGAACAGTAACCGGCAACGCCAACGTCCCTCAGCCCGCAGAGCGCACCGATGCCTTTCAGATTCATCCTCTGGTTTTAAACAGTTTCTCTAGGGCAGGATCTGTGGTACAAACTTACGCTGGTTACTTTCCTCTTGATGTTCTCCAGGAGATGTTCCTGGCCTCGGATGAAGTACGGATGCTGGAATTCGGTATCGTCTTTCTCTGGCTTCACCAATCCTCCCTGCTCGATGTGGACAACCTTCCGAAAGCCATCTGCAAGACAAAGGGTAGGCAGTTGGAGAAAAGCTTGACAGGCCTAAACATCAGCTTGAGAAAGCAGGATCTAGCACACAAGTTACCCTCACTCATTTAAATACCCGGTGCTCTGTCACCGCGCTGTTCCCTTCTAACCCGCCGCATCCTAAAAATGCCACGTGGAACGCGGAACCCTCCCTTAAACGGACAGAGGCTCACTCTGATCCTCCCCAAATGGTCCCAACGGCAAGTGGGACGAGTCTTCTCCAGCCACCACATCCTTCCCCTGCCTCTGTTTCCTCCCTGCCTTGAGCCACAGCCTGACAGGGGTGGCTGGGAAGAGCAGGAGCCACTTCTGCATCCTAGAGTCACGTGAAAAAGCACCTTTTGCTGCTCTTGCAAGAGCGCCTTGCGCCGATGCTTGGCTGGTAGCATGGGGCAGCGAGAAGAAAGGCTGAAATTGCTGGAACTAAACCAAGAGTCTCAAATTATGGCTTAGGGACATGGTTTAGTGGTGGGATGGCAGTGCTAGGTTAGCGGTTGGACTTGATGATCTTAAAGGTCTTTTCCAACCTAGACGATTCTATGATTCTATTCTAAATTATGGCTGAGAGATGCCAACCAGCACTTCACCTTGCCTCTTCCAGGCAGAGCAAGGCAGGGACACAGCTCCATTTCAATGGAACTTTTTTCAAGAATGGCACCGAAAAGAGCCTCTAACACTTCGCACGCGCTGTGGGCCACCCCGGAGGGCTTCTGTTTGACCGATGCAGGGAATGAAACGGGTTCTGACAGCAACAGATGATGGAGGTGAAGCAGCACCGCCTACCAGCTCACATGCTAACGAAACCAGGGGCACTGTGGAGGCAGACCCACGCACATGTCCGTCAGCATTCAGGAGCTCCCGAGCTCCTCACGCCCCGTTTTGGTCCCTCCTTACCCCACAAGTCCGTGACGCAGGCTACTGTAGCTGGCGCACCTAGAGCAAACCTGAATTATGGCTTAGGGACATGGTTTAGTGGTGGGATGGCAGTGCTAGGTTAGCGGTTGGACTTGATGATCTTAAAGGTCTTTTCCAACCTAGACGATTCTATGATTCTATTCTAAATTATGGCTGAGAGATGCCAACCAGCACTTCACCTTGCCTCTTCCAGGCAGAGCAAGGCAGGGACACAGCTCCATTTCAATGGAACTTTTTTCAAGAATGGCACCGAAAAGAGCCTCTAACACTTTGCACACGCTGTGGGCCACCCCGGAGGGCTTCTGTTTGACCGATGCAGGGAATGAAACGGGTTCTGACAGCAACAGATGATGGAGGTGAAGCAGCACCGCCTACCAGCTCACATGCTAACGAAACCAGGGGCACTGTGGAGGCAGACCCACGCACATGTCCGTCAGCATTCAGGAGCTCCCGAGCTCCTCACGCCCCGTTTTGGTCCCTCCTTACCCCACAAGTCCGTGACGCAGGCTACTGTAGCTGGCGCACCTAGAGCAAACCTGCACCTCGCGGGCGCTGTAGCACCCTGATCCTTAACCTGAAAATGAGGAGCAATCTCCTTCCAGCGAAGGAGACCCTGAGGCCCATGAGGGAAATCAATGACTTCCCAAGGGCTCCAGAACCTTTCCAGAGAAATTCTTCAGAAGAAATGAGCCGTGCAAGCTCTGCAAACAGAGTCACTTGCCCTGAAGCAGATGTCCAAGCGACCAAGCCACTCACCTTTATATTGAGTCTCAAATACATTTTTTTTAACAGTCTACTCCACCTGAAGAGATGTAAGCCCGTAGAGCGGCGCGAGCCCGTAGAGCATTTCTCATTCTAACAGAGGACAATTAAAAGCACCCTGGCTCCAAACAATTCCCCAGACCTACTGCAAGAAGCATCCCTTTTGTTATTCCCACAGCAATGCAACCTTCTGGTGAGGGCAATGGTGCAATCCCGCTGCCGCGTGGGGAGGGGAAGGGCATGGCACACTGGAGAGCGCTTCCTCCACTGCTCAGTTACCCACCAAAGTCTTCAGATGGGACTTGAAACACCTAAAAGCCACTCAAGAACCAGGGCGCAGCGCATCAAAGTGGTTTTGGGTCTCAGCGTTTCGGTAAAGCACCGGGATAAATCAAGGGTGTTATTTAAGTTGCACAGAACGCAGCTGCGGTAAGCGGAAAAAAGCATCCAGCGCTGGCGTCGGAAAGCGATTTAGGGAAACGACAGGTGATTGTCGTGATATTCGCCAGTTCTCGGTTACTCAAGCGATCCTTAAGAAGGAAAGGCCCCGGTCACGAAGCACAGAATGCGCCCCACAGCTATTCAAGGAGCGGGTGTTGAAAGGTAATGAAAATGTCATCCTGGCTAATAGCATTGGAATGCTCTCTGCAGCCCACATCTGGAGCATTACGGTTAATCCCTGATAGAACCTCCGCGCGAGAGGCGCATGAAAGGCGTCCTTTATGCGGCTGCCTATCGCCAGGACCCGCCGCCAAAACCTGAGCGCCGAGCTGCGTGCGCGGGGAGGAAGCCGAGCAGACTGCCGTGAAGCAACGTCTCTGGGATAATCCCAGGACGTCCCTGCTCGCTGGCAGGAAAGCGCGGCTATCAAACGCACCCATCAATCTCGGAGCATTGAGACGGACGGGCAGTTCTCCATTTCCTCGCGTACCCGAAGGGTAAGAGCAGGATTAAGCGGTGTAAGTTCGGAAAACAGGGAAGGGGGGAGCATGGAGAAAAGGACTCTTGCTTGATAAATAGAGGGCAGGGAACTGGTAGCACGGAGACATGCGGTGAGAAGAGCAAAAGCTTTGGACAATCCTCCATTCGCGTCCCAAAGGGACCCGGCCTCAAACGCCAGCTCCGGTTCGCTTTGCTCGTGCGGCAGCCGGCACAGGAGTAGAGGGGTGCCCAGGCAAAGTTCCCACCCCGGTTCGCAGCAGGTTCCTTGTTTTTGGAAGGTGAGCAAGGCTCAGCACACGCCACGAAAAACACCAGTTCCGGAGAATTTCATAACCCTGAATCAGGTTTTCCAAAGGGATCCGCAGCCGGAAAGCCAGCTCAGGGGCGCCCTCCACGTTACCTGACTATTCACCCCGTCAGGATAATGAACTTCGAATTTCATAGAATCATAGAACCACTTTGGTTGGAAAAGACCTTTAAGATCATCAAGTCCAACCTTTAACCTACCCCTGCCATCCCACCACTAAACCCTGCCCCTAAGCA